TGCGTCAAAGGTAACGATTCAATGTAAAATTACACGTATATTCGAGTGAGCTCGTTTATGGAATCTTTGAACTGTGTATTAAGATGAAGAGCAAAAAATAAAGGAAAGGAAAGAAAAACGCCTCATCGCGGCAAATCCAAGGTGAAACATCGTTTCGACGGAGGTAAACATTCGGGGTAAGGGTTGCGTTTTTCAGCTGGATTTTTTGCATAACCTCGAAAAGGGAAATAACAGCGAAAGGGAAAACGCATTAGTCGAAGGTTTACGAGGTCATCGTGGCATCGTTCGGCTGCGGAACGAGCCGTTTCGAATTGTACACGAAAATACCTATGCAGATTATGGCTTTTCGAAACGTCTCTCTTGTCGAAATTGAGGGTCAAATCCTTCGCCGAAGGTCGGGGCCGGAGATTAAAAAGTTTTACAATTTTGGAACTTTCGAGTTTGAGAATTGGGGGTTTGGAAAGTTAAAAATTTAGGAAATTGAAAGTTGGCAAATTTGGGAGTTTTGGAATTTTGGGGTTTGCGAATCTGGAGATTTATAAGGTGGAGAAATTAGGTATTGATTTGGAAATTTGGTAATTTGAAGACTTGAGAATTTGGTGACTTCGAAATTTGGTATTTGAGTGATCATGTGTTTCACATACGATTAGAAAGTTTTGGAATTTAAAATTCTAAAATTTGTAGACTTAAAAATTTAAGAATTTGCAGACTGAGGATCTAATCTATTAGCGCAGATACAAAAACAAAAGAATAACAAACAGAAAAATATTTCGCATCACTTTAAACTGGCATTAATCCATAAAGAATTGATCTGAACCGTTCCTCATAAATAATTCATTACTGCCCGCTACACTTAGCAAAATTTAAAATACATTAAAAAATCGAAATTAATGCATATTTCTTTTTCACGCTAAAAAGGGTCATAAAATAAAAAAAAGCAGTGATCGCTCAATTATGTCAAGAAAAAAGACATAGTCGTCTTAATGTCGATCGTTCGTGTGTTTTATGTTTATTATTTTATAGCGACATAATCTGCGATCGGTTAGGTTTAAATAGACGGCCACCGCGTTTAAATAACGCCGTTCAGCAGGTTTGTAAAATCACGATTTATCGTTGACCATCGTTCGTCAAAAGTGCCATTCAAATACAAAGTCCGAGGCTGTTCGACGGGCCAATAAATTTATAACCATAGAAACGAAAGCATAAAACCATGGCGTCTGCAACGGGTATACCGGTACCTTTGAGAAATGTTATAAAGTATTCGTGTTCCGTAAACGTTTCTCATTATGAATTCATTGTAAACTAAGAAGCGTTAAAGGTAGATCACATCTGAAAGTATAATTTTCTTCTTGAGAAGGAGTCGATTCAATCATAAAAACGAAAATGTAGATGAGGCTTTTTTACCAAGTTCTATATTTTTCAATCGTTTCTTCGTCTACCTATGACTTAAACTGCAATATCATATAAATTATTTATCGAATAGCATTACGCTGTCTGTATGCAGAATATGGAAAAAGCAATTATATTTCTCATTGATACATTGCTTCAGCGTTTTGTATCAAGGTTAGTCATTAAATTATTGGTAGCTGTAAAACTGATATAGTTCTTTCGTTAATATTACAAAATTATACGGTAATTCTTTTATAGTAATTTTGATTAAGATTAGTTGAAAATCGTTTGCGTCGTCTCAAGTTCGGTGCTCGATCGTTTCCGGCAGCTTAGCTAAAAACTATAACATATTTCTGTATCGGAAGAGTAAAAAGGGAAGGTTACGGTAAAAGCACGTGGTCTAGCTCGTTCACTCTCAATTTCAATGTGTTTTTATTGCGCCTCTTAAATTCGCATTTATGAGCTCTTATGTTCTGGCCGGCCCTCTCCGTGCACACGAGTGGACCGTGTTAACGTTTCCTTGTGTGCCGAAGACAAATCGTTCGGCGTGAAGTTAAACAGACGATAATTGTGACGGATATCCCGCAACAATCGTAACCGTAAATATTTTAATGAGTAAACGGCGGGCACCGAGTTGCACCCGTCACGCGTCACGATCTGCCGGCATCCGATCGCGTTACTTAACGTCCATTGCTCTTCGTTTTCCTCTTTTTTATTTTCTTCGTTGCTCTTCATTCTCCTCTGCTCTATATTCATCATTTTTCTAATCTTCATTTTCTCCATTGTCTTTACTCTTCTAATCTCTTAATCTTCTTCAGTTTCTTATCCTCTAACTTAAACTTGTGAACTCCTTGTTCATAGTAATATAAAAATTGAATAGTTAAAATCAATGCTTCGGTTTCAATTTCCTCAAGACTCTAGAGGCAAAAAACAGTGTGATAAGAGAACTCTACTTTTTGTTAGTTTTACGCGCTTTTCATACTATTTTACCGCAGTGTTCGTTGTAGACCATGAGCTGACGAAAGAAAATAAACGAGCGGCCATTTCGTGTACTCGAGAGCAGCCTGGAACCTATTAAGATATCGTGGGTTGGACCCAAAATCTCGAGGCTGTCGAGTGAACCAATCGCTGGAATAAACATTAACATCCACTGGTCCTTTCAAAATTCTAATTCTCTCCGGAATTTGATTCTTCTTCAGCGTGTTAATTAAAGTATTTAAGTTCGTTCTAGCGGTCACAGAAGAGGCTATGAATTTGACGCTTTTATCGTTTTTCTTAGATATAATCGCTTAATGCGAATCATAATTCATTTTTGAATTATTTTACTGAGAAGCATACAAGTATTCATCGAAAAAAGGGAACTCTTGATGTCAAAAACTTTTATCAAGGCATCACACAAATTTGACAAGAATGCACAAAATTTTAACCTTTTATCAAATTTTACTAAAAATTCAACAGAGAGCTTGCAATAAATATTTGATTTCATATTTCAGCTTTAATTATTGATACTGATGTCTGATTATTCTATAGTCGAACAGTGTATGTATAATGGTGTCGAATCATATTCAAAGACGTGGATAGAGTTTGAGCAAGACGAGTTTTCAAATGAAGATATTGAGACTGAACGGGTTAAAATGTCGGCGAAACGTTCAAGGCATAAAACTGAGAACGCAACACTGTCGGTTAAAAGAGTCATTACAGGATACTCGGCCAAACAACGTGCACCACCAACCAGAATTTTTGTTTTTGTTTTTTAAACAGACGATCTCCTGCCGATATTTATGTATACGAGTTGCGTCTGCATTTATGTATCTTCTACATTTCTTTCACAATGTTTTCGTCAATGTTGGTTTCCTTAGGATAAAGATTATAATGTAAACTTGAATCTCCGAATTATTAAATTGTTGAATTCCTATGTCTTCGAACTTCTAGACCTTCAAATACCTAGATTAAATCGCTATTTAAGTCCTCATATTGCTATGTCCCCACTTTGAAAGGGTTTAGATTTCCAAATCTCCATCCCCAAATCTTCAGAAAGTTCTCCAAAGATTTGGAACCTGCCAAATTTTCCAAAAGTCCCTAAAAATGAAAGAGTATCGTTCTCGTCTCTTCTCGGTTGCCATACTTTTCCTTGGGACAAGATTTGCCGTTGACTGTACAAAGCGAAATTTGTTCGCGGTCCGATTCACAGCGATACCGATGTCGATTACGATGCCCATGACGACGAACAGCATCGAGGTAATGAACGGTCTCGGTAAAACGCCACGAGAAGGTCGAGTAATTCCACGATGAACAACAACGAATGGTTCAGTCGTGAACGCTAAACGTTTCCAGGAGACCAGCGAGTTCAATCAATGGCCAGATCCTTTGTTTCGTATTTGCGGCCGCTGCCTGAAATGCTGGCAATAGCGAGAGAAATAAAAGCGAATAGTGACTCAATCAAGCTCCGTTCTGCTCAGCAACTTTACTCTTTCTGATCGTAATTAGCTTGATCCTTACTATTTGCGATCATGGAGGTCGCTGGGAACGAGCGTTCATGCTTTTTGCCGTAAACTTTCGTTCTAATCTTAACATTTACCGAGAATTTTTAGCCATTAAGTCGTTACGTAAGTGATCATTAGTTATATGTACTCGAAATATCTCCCTTTGGTGTACCTGCCAGGTACAAATTTGTGTTTGATGACATAGATATACTATAACATACTTAAGGGTTTATTTAATATTTATCCACATTATACATAAGTAAATACATTTTACACCTACAGTACATCGTACCTCTGCCTCCCAATTATTATAATACTCCACATTTTCGATCCATCAGAAAATGTACGTATCACTGGTCCGTACACATCGCGGATAGGAGCATTAGGAGTTTAATGAGCATCGTCGAATCGGTCCGATCCGCTTGCTGTAACCGAAGGGGATTAAGGGAAGAGACCATAAAGCGTGGATCTGTCATCGAAGATAGCCGGCATTTTACAAAGTATAAGCTCCCATCGACGTTAGCCGCAGGTGCTACACAGAAGGCAGTCCACAGGTAGATACGGTGGCCGCCTGATTGGCTTGCTCGGAACGGGGTACCATCCTACGGTTTAGCGACGGCTAGCGTGCCGGCCAAAGAGAAGGCGGTCGTTGTTAACTTGTGACTGTCTCTCTCTCGTCAGACCTCGAACATACGTTTTACTCTCGCGAGCGACGGGAAGAGAAGGAACAAAGATAGACCCGGTACAGTTCGAGCATAGTAAATCCCGTTGGCCCGATACCTAACCGACACACGATCAGGCCTGTAGTGTAGACCGGGCGAGCTTTGCCGGCCGAGCTAACTCGTTCAGCCCGACGCGTGTATTTCCGTTCCGTTACGTTTACGCTCGCCAATGCGCGTACACAGCCTCTCCGCTCGGTTTCGCTTCGCTAACTCGCCGCTGCCAGCTTCAGTCGAAACTTCGCCAACGCGATGCACCGCTCTTAACAGCGCCGTTCCGCGCGCGTTGTGTTTTCCTCGCGAGAGTCGTCTTTCGATAGCGAGCTGCCGGACGCCGAAGATCGTCCGAACGAGTGAAACGTGTCGTGTTCGCGCGTTCTGTACCCCGCGATGTGTACTATTACTCGGTCGGGTCCGAAGGTGTAAATCATAGTACAATGTTTGGAGAATCGTTCGAAGGCTGTGTGGTCGGAGAGAGAAGCCCGAAGCCCAAGAACTAGAGCCAATATTGGCTCCGATGTGTTTGGCTGGACTAGTTGAAGACGAGTTGTACGTACATTGGATGTTTCAGCAGGTGGAAAACGGGACGGCATGGACTAGCCGCGAGGGTCGTGAAAACCCTTGGAAGGGAAAAGGGCATCCCCTCCCTCCGCCCTGCTACCGTCGCGACACTCCGCGACGCTGCTACGCCGTCGCAACGCAACCACCTCTTCGTCCTTGCTTCAGCCGGAAGGTGAGTGACCAATTTCTTTCGTCCTGAGTTTCTCCTTCGGTTCTTCTTACTTTTCTTTCTTATTCGAAGCAACCAGTATGCGCGCGGATGTGCGAGTATGCCATTTTCTACTTTGCAGGGTCGAAGAACGTTCATTCTTCCAGTTTCTACTATTATAGTGGTTAAATTGCAACCTCAAAGAGATTCAACACTTACTGACTAGCCTTTTTCATAAAGAAAGATGGTATCAATTTATATAGTTAACAAGATTTTATAAAGCGAAATATTGTAAAAAAAGTCGCATAGTAAGCAGAAGTCGGGAACGAGCCGTTTTACTCGGTCCACGAACACGTATCGCGTAAGAAGGGAAGAAATCTCTTGTCACGTTTGGAAGAGACGGTCGTCGTAATCCGGAGATTAACGGTCGAACACGTACACGTCGGTGTCGTCGGGTTCTCTCTTCGGTTTAACGCGATCCACGGGGCTTTGTTTTATCATCGGCTATCAGCGGCCATATTTCAACAACGTTGGCCGTATGATCTTCATTAGGAGCCTGGAATTCCCTCCACGGAGAGGCAATTTCATTAAACGTTGACTCGGTCGAAAGGAAACCGTGCAGGAACTATCAAACCTTGTACAGTTCGTTTCGCCTTCCTTCTTTTTACGATCGCGCAACGCTGCACGCATGTTCAGCATCATTTTGCTCTTTTCCACGCACCTACCTATGTACTATGCTATATAGAACTGGTCATCGTCCTGTTGCACGTGGGACTTCGAGGTGTGACTATCGGGATGGGAAGTGTGCGTGGATGCAATAGATCGCGCGGGTTATAGTAAGATCACGTGATATATAGTTGAGCACTATAAGATCAAGTGATGCATGGTTGGGTAGATTAGATCTCGAGATGTATGGCTATACGCTATAAGATCACATGATATATGGTTATACACCGTTAGATCACATGATGTACGGTTATACACTGCTAGATCACTTGATGTATGGTTATATGTAACATCATGTGGTGTGCATTGTAATGTTACGTGATACATGACTATACAATGTAACATGATGCATGGTTACGCACTGTTAAATCAGATGGTGTATAACTATACACCATCCTATAACAGTTATATACTGTTAGATCACTTGATAGATCGTATGTATGTACTAGGTGGTCATGTGTTATCTCACCACGTGTTTGATCGTTACACGGTTGATCACCACGCGTCATATTATTAAGCTTGATATCTTCACGCGTTAAATTTCTATGCATTGTATAATTAGCCGCTGAATACCTACACGTTGCATAATCACGCGTTGAATATCTACGCGTTGAATTTCCTCGCATTATTCCAGACATTGTATTCTAAAATATTGGAAAGTAGTTAAAAAGATTTTAACTTCCAATATGTATACATGTCAAAAGAGTTAGAGTAACTTGTGGGAGGATATCATATTTTTTGAAAGCATGTCAGGGTTGCAAGTGCAATGTATGCGTGTTCCTCGAGGTTAGGTTAGATGGTGTCTGGATATTCGAATCCTGTAGTGCACACTCGTGGGTTCGCACCAAATCGTGTTTCTTGGAAGTGGGGATGCCCGGTGAAAGGAACAGCCAAAGGAGGTAGAACTGAACAGAACGGATCGAAAGCGGGAGAACGCCATTATCCGACGGCGGCCATTCTCTTCTCAACAAGAATCTCCCAATCTTCAAAAATCTGTCGGTGATTTCTCAAAATTAATCTTATGTTTCGATATGATCAGCCAAATAGTAATAAGTATTAGTAGTAGTAAGTTTTAGTAATTAATATGTCGCGATGCTGAAAATTGTTAAAAATTAGGAGAGTTGTATTTGACATTTCATTCTAAATCTAAGAAAGCTTAGTTGACATGAAAAATTAAGAGAACCTTGCTTCTGTTATCTAAAATTTGACCAGTCAAGAGCCCGGTCATACTATGTATACATACACTCCCCGTTGAATAATCCAAAAAGTAGAGAGGAAATAACTGGCGATATAAAGCAACGCTGTAAAAACGCGGCTGGTCATACACAGAATATAATACATACGCATCAGAGTATCCATTTTTCTCGTACGAACAGAAACACAACGTGTCATAACCGCCTACCCATTCAACCACCCCTTTTTTCCATCCACTATTTCTCTCTTCCCAGGGGTTCTCGGTTATCCAACCTCGTCCCGCGTCCCATTTTTATTCAAATTCATCGGAGAGCTTCTCCGACGATGGCCGAGGGAGAGCTAGGCAGTTCACCAGTTTTACAGGCCAACATCCTCCGTCTCTTTTTCGCTTGCACCGCCAGCGTTCACCTTTCTCCCCTCGTTTTCCATAAATTCTGAATTTTATTTAGTCCACACAGTTGCAGCTTCGCCGCTTTGCGTCTTTATCCCCACACGAGAACCGGTTCAACCGTTGGTCCAATCCGATCCACGGAACAACGGGTCATCCTCGACTGGCTCGTGGGTTCAAGAACACCGAGACTGTGATTCGAGGATTCCTTCGATGCAAGCAATTTTTATTGCAATTCGAAACTGATGCTGAATAATGATTATCTTCGTTGCCTGCGGTTAAGTGTTGCTGCAGGGAAATTCTAGAGGGTACGGGTTTGGTACGATCGGCTGACATATAAAATTGGGTGAGCATAAGAGGTCATATAACATATGGCAATATAATGCGATATTGTACGTTCGGGTGGACAATGTGTGACGATATAACGCGTTATCTAACGTAACGCCATTATAGTAATGCAATGACATAATTGTTTATTCATATAACATATAATATTTCGTATACATTCATATATTTATTTCGAATAGAGTCTTCAAAGAAGAGAGAATCGCACGTGTGCGGTAAAAGACGCTGTGTTACCGGGTTGCCCACGTACTCTGCAACTTGAGCCAGCCATTTTGAATTCCAACTTGCTCTCTGCAGCTTGCTCGGTAGAGAGAAAGAGAACAAGAGACGAAGGAAAGAAGAGAAAGAGTCGGTGGATACGGTGTCCTCGTCTTATTTTTCAGATGTCAAAGGACCGAGGCCACGAGGCAATATTGTTGATAGTTGATGTTGCAGCCATATTCCAATGCTCGGCTGCCGCACTCTCCTCTTGGCGGGAGATTCCCTTTTTTTTACTTCGTCTTCTTTCTTTTTCTGCCTGCCGAGTTTCTCGAATCCCTCCACGTTACAGGCCTGCCCTCGACGGAACGTTTGCTTCTTCGATTACTTCCAAACTTTTTTCTTTTATTGCTCAAATATTAAATTCTCGATTTATTCTTTCTCGACGTTCAGAATTTCTAATTAAATCGATTGTGTTCCTCGCTGTTGGAACCTCTACTTCTCCTTTTTTATATTAAATTCTAACTATCCAACAGCCTACAGATAGAATTCTCTTTCGATGCATATGGTTCCGATTCTTAAAACTTTTAGTGTGTCTCAGCAAAATCCAGAACAAACGGATTCGGAAGCCAGAACTCGAGGTGTGACGCAAGTGGCCAATAATAAAATCATCCTGCGTTGTTCCGTGTCTCGAAATACCGTTTGTCGGACAGTTGGAAACGCCAGGCAGTTGGATCGTAGAAATTCAGAGACAAGCGTAAACGCTGAAACGTTTGATCGTGTTGAGGACGATGGATAACGTTTCCCGTTAGATGGCTAGTCTAATGGCAGACACACGCCATAGAGAAACGGAGAAGGTTGTTTTACCTCGATGGTCGCCAGAGGTGTTGGATGTCTTCCGTTTAATGGCGGCTACGATTTGGACGAGGAGATAGAGAGCAGCCAGCCTCCAACGGCGTTCCTCCACTTAATCAACCGTACGAGCTGCAATATTCATAACTTAGCCAGGGTATAATGTCGTAAAGCTTATCCCGTGTCCCTGTGTTTTTACGGAACCATCTGGAATTTATTCGAATTCTCTTCCCGAGCTTCGCCATTTTTGATCACATCTCTGCGTGTTTTCTCATTTCATCGGTATATTATCATTACAATACTGTTAATTCCGTCACCATTTTCTACGACATGATGCTTTTAGTTTAATCAATGATTGGCCATAGAATCTGTAGGAACTTGTCTTTATCGTTTAAATGTTTTGCAATAAGTATTTTGACATCAATGCTGAAATCCTTCATCCTCAACCGGTTAGAACTTCTCTAAATGGTTCAAAGGCGGATCAAAACGAATCGTAAATTACATTGGTGAATTAGAAATAATTTATGCACATTTATGGTTGTGCAAAAAGCTAGGAGTAACGATCAATTACGAAGAAACTGACGCGGAAAAATTCGAACCGCTGATTAACGAACCGCTTGAACGTTTAACAAGCAAAGTGAGTGCGCAGTAATAAGCGAATCCTCGAGGATCATGCACACATGTGAACGGCGAATAAATTGTACAGCTTATTAGACGAGAAACTTGCGGCAGAAAAATGCAACGAAGAAGTTGGGTCGAAGTTTTTCAGGGGTAATTTACTTCTTGGGCAAAGTGAGGCTGTAGGCGACTCAATCGCCATCTTGTACTGAAGAAGAATCAAACTAATCGAATATCACAATTTTAATTTCGTCAGATCAAATTTCGCGGTCTACCATTATGCAAAATGGCGATGGGTTACTACATTAGCGAGGGCGTATCGACTCGCTCTGTAACTTTTGCTTACATTATTGAAATTTTTGGTGAATTGTCCACTGGTACCGATCGCGATATGGTAGCATGGTGGAAAGCATGCAGCAACCACACGAGGCCGTGTGTTTTCGAGCCGTTACAGATTATTTATTCAACGAGAATAGACTTCTATATCAACTTCCTATGTTTGGGATCGGGTGCGCGCGCATAAAACCGGCGGATCGGCCGGGTGATACGTAAACGCGGCATTTTACGAGCGACGACAAGTTTACGCGATTCGCTCGTTATCCGCGCACCTTTCCACGTCTCCGATCTTCATTAATGTTTCAAGTGGTTCGCTAAATTAGACGAAAGCTGTGGCCAGTGATTCTTGTCCCCACAAATGCGATTT